TCATTTGAATGCTTATTCACTATTGTGTCTTGTACAATTATTGAGAAATTGATGATTTGTGAAGACACTCAATTTTCCGAAGCTTCAAAAACCATTTTCAACTTTGACCGTAAATTACAGAATATAAGCAATAGTTACAACTATGACAAATGGCACGTTAGATAGCCCAAACATTTAGCTTTAATTTGTGTACTCATTTTTAACTGTGACTTGTATAATTATTGAAAAATTATGATTTGTGAAGACACTCAATTTTCTGAGGCTTCAAAAAAACATTTTCAACTTTGACCGTAAATTACAGAAAATCAGCAATAGTTACAAATATGACAAATTACACTTTAAAAAGTCCAAACATTTAGCTTTCATTTGAATGCTCATTCATTATTGTTTCTTGTACAATTATTCAGAAATTGATGATTTCTGAAGACACTTAATTTTTCGAAGCTTCAAAAAACCATTTTCAACTTTGACCGTAAATTACAGAACATCAGCAATAGTTACAAATATGACAAATGACACTTTGGAAAGACCAAACATTTAGCTTTCATTTCCATGCTCATTCATTATTGTATCTTCTATAATTATTGAGAAATTAATGATTTGTGAAGACACTCAATAGTTACAAATATGACTCATGGCACTTTGGAAAGCTCACTCACCATAATACATCTTCATATATGTAAACTAAAAGATTAATGTTTTCAAATTTTGATGTTCGAACATTTTCCTCAAACATCGCTACACAGTTTGAAAATACTTGAACCATTGAATAAGAAATAATAACGTTTTTTGTCATTGATTTCCTCGCGTCGTGAGTAAACAAATTATGCAAAACATGAATAGGATTTCCTCGAGAAACCAATCATTTTTTTCTCTGTAAATGATACACATAAAAACGCTGCAAGGAACGAAATAATAGAGCCGTAAACACCTACAAAACTCATCGGAAATCGGTTTTAATTCATAACAATTTGCAGCCTTGGGAGTTGCGTGTAAATCAGGCGCGCAAATGAGGATCACTTTGTGCACATATTAAAAAAAAAGAAGCAGATTGCATACGAAAAGACCGGCAATTTTCTTGTCCTTGCCCGATGATTACTGTCTTTTTCCCAAGTCTGTCTCGTGCAGCTCTCAATTTTTGTTTTTCTTTCATATTTTTTTTTTGTTAAAAATCATATGGGCAGGAAGGAAATGGGAGAGAAATGTAGACACATTACCGGTAATGAACGTCTAATAACTGGCAACTAAGTAATGCGAAAATTAAACAACAATAAGACCGCAACTGAGAGATATAAAGACCGAAAAGTGGACGATCAACGATCATTTTTACGGTCAAGATGAAGCGGTTAACTCTTGGTTTAATACTTCTCATCACCATCAACTGCTGCTTTTCGGTATTATAAACAACTGTATTTATCTTAATTTATATAAAATTAACAATAATTCACTGATTTCATTTATTATTATGAAAAAAATTGATATTTTCATACTTTTTTTTGTAACTTCTTCGTTGTTATACAAATTATAAAATGTTTGTATTCATCATCAACTGCTGCTTTTCGGTATTATAAATAAATGTATTTATCTTAATTTATATAAAATTAACAACAATTCACTGATTTCATTTATTATTATGAAAAAAATTGATAATTTTATACTTTTTTTGTAACTTCTTCGTTGTTATACAAATTATAAAATGTTTGTATTCATCATCAACTTCTGCTTTTCGGTATTATAAACAACTGTATTTATCTTCATTTATAAAAAATAAGAAATATTAACAAAATTTCATTGATTTCATTCATTATTATGAAAAAAAATTGATAATTTTTTGTTACTTCTTCGTTGTTATACAAATTATAACATTTTTGTATGTATTTTTTTATAGTTAACCGAAAAGCAGATGAAATCAGCTGCGAAATTAGTGAGGAATTCTTGTATACCCAAATCCAAAGTAACCGAAGGTAAAAATTATTGTTTTTTTTTACAAATATTAACATTTAATAATGTCTTGGTTATTTTTAGCACAAGTGATGAAATTACATGCAGGCGATTGGGCCGACGAATCTAATCCAATTAAGGTAAACACTCTCCATTTCACAATTAATTTCATAAAAAAATATAAATTTTTATGAATTTGTTTCAGTGTTACATGAATTGCGCTCTGTCTATGCTGAAAGTCGTAAGTTACTGTTTTTTAAATCTCTCTTTTTTTTTATAAATTTATCTTGAATTATATCAAAAAAAAATAATTTTCTTTATCTCTTTTATTACATTTTGATTATAGTGCAAGAAAAACGGTGAATTCGATCTTGAGGCGGCATTGAAACAAGTGCCAACTTTACCCGAATCGAGGCAAGAACCTACAGCTTCTTCCATGAAGAAATGCGGAGAGGAAGGTAAATCTTAGAACGTTATAATTTCATTAAACTATAATTTTTTTTCGAAATTTATACTTTAATTGTGAAAATGTTCTTTTTTTAGTTAAATACAAACTTTCCAATAAGTTCAATCAAAAATTACCTAATTTACAGGTTTCTTTTTTCAATTGTTAATTGTTTTTTTCAGTTCAAGCCAACGACGATAAATGCGATTCTTCTTGGCGATTCGCTAAATGCTTATACTTCGATAATCCTGAGGTAAACATTGATTAAATTACATATTAAACATAAAATGAGGAAAAAACTTTAATTTCAGAACTATTTTCTGCCTTAAAACTGGACTTCGACCAAATTCGACCACTTTCCAATACGACTTCAAGCATTCATTTGTGATGATTTCTTCTGCATTTTTTTCTATGTTATATAATTATGTGTTTATTTTAAAACGTTGCTGATATCATTAGTATTAAGTCTTCCAAATGCTGTTGTTTCTGCTGCTTTTTTTTACATATCGTTGCTAATTATCACTTATTTTATTTATAATATTACAATCGTTCTGTATTAAATAAATTAGAATAAAGTATAGAAAATAAATTCTGAAAATTACCGAAATTTTCATAAAGATGTTTATTATAGGCGAGTTTTCAGTTTTCCCAATTTTTCTTCAGTTTTTAGTGACAACCTCATTTGCTAATTATATCATCTTATACTAAAATTAAAGCTGAAAGCCTCATCTTTCCAACGAATCTATTTGCAACAGTCTGTTACTATGAGTTCATCTGCTATGAGATGTTAAAAGTATTGTTGCAAAAAAAAGCATCTTCATATTTTCATTGATTTCAGGATAACCACGCAGGATAATTATATAATTCAACAAGAATCGTAAACTTTAGACCGTTATCTATTAAGTGAGATCACTGAAAGAGTTATAGCATCGATATTATAGGCAACGAGTTTTCAGTTTTCCCAGTTTTTCTTGACAGTTTTCAGTTTTTAGTGACAATCTCATTTGCTAATTATATCATGTTATACTAAAATTAATGCTGAAAGTCTCATCTTTCCAATTAACCTATTTCCAACATTCTGTTACCATCCGTTCGTCTGCAATGAGATGTTAAAAGTATTGTTGCTAAAAAAAACATCTTCAGCTTTTCATTGATTTCAGGATAACCACGCAGGATAATTACATAATTCAATAATAATCGTAAACTGGAGAACGTTATCGTTTGAATGAGATCACTGAAAGATTTCTAGCATCGATATTTGAAAAATCCTGAAACTTACATCCTGAAATGACATTTTTTGACTTTCCTCGTTTTCAAAAAGATGTTTACTATAGGCAAGCAAATATACACTGCTGTATATTTGGTTGCAGATATGAGAGTTTTCATTCGCAATAAGTGTTTCTTCTTCATACATTTTCTTGCATAACTCAATAACCGCTTAAGCTAATAAGATCATCCAATACTCAAATTAAAGCTGAAAATCTCACTTTTCCAACGAGTCCAGTGGCATGAGTATTCAATGGGAGCTGTTTAAGTGACGTTGATGAAAATGCAACGTCTTCACGTGTTTATTTTTTCAGGATAACCACGCAGGATAATTACGTAATTCGACAGGAATCATACTAACTAGACTGCCACCTTTCGAATGAGCCATCTGAAATGATTCTAGCATTTAATTTCGGAGTGTCTGAGAATTACCCAAAATTTTGTCCAATTGCCAATGGGATTTTGTTAAAATTGCAGTTTGATAGAAAAAAAAAAACGATTTTCGTTAATAACTCAAAAACTATTAATTTTTTAAGATTTGATTGCATAATCAGGTGCAGAAAAGCGTTGCGTTACGTTGCAATCTGACGGGTTTTCAGTTTTCCCAATTTGTCTTCAGTTTTTAGTAAATTACTCGACAACCTCATTTGCTAATTACATAATCTTATACTCAAATTTAAGCTGAAAGTGTCACCTTTCCAACGAACCCACTGTCAGTCTTATGTTGTTATATGTTCTTTTAGTACGTTTTTCCAAAATTGTTGTTGCTGAAAAGGAACATCTTCACTTTTTCATTAATTTCAGGATATTAAATATTTACTAAAGAGAAAAAAACGATAATTTCAATTCAAATCACTTGTTTCCTTATGAATATTAATTATGATTGTGTTTTGCATTTGATTGTGTAATTTTAATTTCATAGAATTGATACATTCATAACTAAAAAGTGGTGCATTATCTACACATAAGTATCAATTAAAAATGGATTTGCCGGTGAAATTAATTCGCAAATTAATAGAATTAGCTTTCCTTGAGATGCAATTAAACTTATCACGATCCAAGTATAAAAATATCTGACTCAGAAAACACCAAATTCATTTCTATTTGATTGTCTTTTCCTTGTTGTCATATAAAAATGAAGTTCCTATTATTACTTGTGGTCGTTACGTTCATTTGGGTGCAGATTAGTGAGTGCGCGGTAAGAATTCTGAAGAATACAGAAATTCGAGGATTAATCTCTATTTTTTTTGCACGAGTTTAGATGTCCGAAGCTCAGCTCAAATCCACAGGAAAGTTGGCACGGAAGAATTGTCAACCGAAGAGCAAAGCTACAGACGGTAAGACAACTTTATCATTCAAGTCACTTAACTTTGACAAGTTGTCAAATGTCAAATTCATGAAACGCCATCTATTGTTTCATTATAAATAAAACACTACAATTGTCTAATTGAATTTTTATGGTAAATGTTACATGAAACAGCTCAACTCAATGATCTGCAGGTGGGAAAATGGGATGACGCACCTGAAACCAAAGTAAGTTATTCAATATCACTGAAAAACAATAATCAATTTACGAAATTTGGTTATACAATTAAATAATGTCAATGTTGTATCCTTTTGTTGTTTTTAGTGCTACGCCTACTGCTTAATGAACATGTACAAAATAGTAAGTTTTAATTATATAATAAATTGATTTAATGAACATCGGATTATTCAATGTAACAGCAACATCTGGCGTTTAAATTGAAAATTATATCTAACGTCAAAATTGTTAAATGTCAAATTTGTACAAAACCGGATTACGTAACTGGAACTAATATAAAAAGACATCTACTGTTATATTTCTGAACTATTTTAAACCCGAAAGTTACCGGATCATGTCTGTTATGAACAATACACGAAATTGTAACAAACGAGAGTTAAGATTCATTGAAATCTTTGCTGATGAATCTCGTCAAGTAAATAGTGAATATTTTGTTTTATGTATAATTAGGTAATTAACACTAGTCAATGAAAAATTGAGTATTATCAAAAGTTTCTTAACATTTTGTTATGTAATTTTTTCTTAGGTGGACAAGACTACTGGTAAATTCAATGAAGAGACGGCCTATAATCTATTGGACATGTTACCTACCGCACGTGTAGCACCTATTAAAGAAAGTATAAGCAGATGCAAAGGACAAGGTGACAATAAATATATATATTTTTTTATAATGAATTTTGCAAAGGAATCTTTGTCTTTGTTAAATTGTTGTTGTTTTTTTTATTTTAAGACGGCGGTGATGACAAATGCAATTCTGCTTACCAAGTGTTAAAATGCATCTACTTCGACAATCCTTCGGTAAAATTAAGAAATTACTAGTTATTTTTTTTTAAATACTTAACAATGATTTATGTTTCAGAACTACTTCGCACCATAAGAATGATTAGTTGATTCCAGAAACACCGCGTATCCAATCTATGATGACTAAATTTATGAATTTGCAATAAAATTGTTAAGCACTAATAACTCATCAATTGTTAATTGCCTTATTTATCCTTAGAATACGTGTAAAAAGGTCCCACGTTGAGCGCCATTTTTTTTTGTAATTGTAATTCATTAAAAAAGAAATATTTTAATTACAAAAAAAAACACAATTATAAGTAATTTGATAAGAAAAGTACGTTAGAAAGATGTTGGTGTATGTTTAGTTGCATACGAATTTCAAAACTTCATCTGTTTATTGCTTACGTATAACTAAGATTAAGTACGTATACATATAAAACAATGTTAACTTCTTAAATTAAGCACATAAAGATGAATTAAAGAAGGCGACGACTATATTTATTACAAGTTGTCAAATGTCATTCGTAAAACGCCATCTGTTATCTTATTATAAATAAAACACTAGGATTTTCTAATTCATTTTAGTGTCAAATGTTACATAAAACAGCTGAAATCAATGATCTGCAGGTGGAAAAATGAGATTACGCAGCTGAAACTAAATTAAGTTATTCAATATTTCGTAAAAACAATATCAAAAAATAAAATTTGGTTATCAATTATATAATTCTTTTCTTTTTAGTGCTATGCTTACTTCTTAACGAACATGTACAAAATAATAAGATTGAATTATAATAATTGATTTAACGTCAAAATTTGTTAAACATCAAATTAATTTCTACAAAATTGGATTATCTAACTAGAGCCAATTCAAATTATTTAGATAGATTTGAGAGAAGACGGTTAAATACCATGGATGGATTTATTGTAATATTAATAAGTATAAAAAGAAATTGAATACTTTCAAGACATCTATTGTTAAATTTATGAACTATTTCAAAATATAAAGTTACCGGATCATGTCTGTTATGAACTATACACAAAATTATAACAAACAAGAGTTAAGATTCATTGAATTCTTTGCTGATGAATCCCGTCAAGTAATTATATTAAAAAAAAGATGCTATTATAATGAATTTAAGAATTATGTTATTATCAAGATTTTTCTAAACTTCTTAAGATTTTCTTATTTTATTCATTTTTTTTAATAAATAATTTTATATAAAGGGTGTCCCAAAATTAACGAAAGTTTTTAGTCTTCAAATTCTGATTTTTTTGGGGTTGCCAACCAGTCAACATTTGTTAAACATCAAATTAATTTCTACAAAATTAGATTATCTAACTGAAACCAATTCAAATAATTTAGATAGATTCGAGAGAAGACGGTTAAATACCAAGGATAGATTTATTGTAATATTAATAAGTATAAAAAGAAATTGAATATTTTCAAGACATCTATTGTTAAATTTATGAACTATTTCAAAATCTAAAGTTACCGGATCATGTCTGTTATGAACTATACACAAAATTATAACAAACAAGAGTTAAGATTCATTGAATTCTTTGCTGATGAATCCCGTCAAGTAATTATATTAAAAAAAAGATGTTATTATAATGAATTTAAGAATTATGTAATTATCAAGATTTTTCTAAACTTCTTAAGATTTTCTTATTTTATTCGTTTTTTTAATAAATAATTTTATATAAAGGGTGTCTCAAAATTAACGAAAGATTTGAATTAAATAGAAACCACAGTTTTTAGTCTTCGGATTGTGATATTTTGGGGTTGCCAACAGTTTACTACACAAATGGCGGCAAATTCAAATCTTGCGTTAATTTCGGGACACCCTTTATTAGGTGGACAAGACTTTTGGTAAATTCAAAGAAGAAACGGGCTTTAATCTATTGGACATGTTACCTACCCCCTGCAGTTTCTAAAATGTATATAAAAAAAGGTCCCACGTTGGGCGCCAATTTTTTTTTCTAATTCACTAACTAAAGAAATATTTTTATTAGATAGAAACATAATTATGAGTAAAATATAATGATACTAAAATTGAGAACTTTGATAAGAAAAGTACGTTGGAAAGATGCTGGTGTATGTTTAGTTGCATAACGAAGGGGTCCCACGTTGTGCGCCAATTTATTTTAATTCATTACAAAAAAAATATTTTCATTACAAAAAAAACACAATTATAATTGAATGTAATAATACTAAAATTGAGAACTTTGATAAGAAAAGTACGTTGGATAGATGTTGGTGTATGTTTAGTTGCATAACAAACGAATTTCAAAAGTTCATCCGTTTATTGCTTACGTACAACTAAGATTAAGTGC